CTATAAGTTAGGTATAGATGGAAAGTATCTCAACATAATTAAAGCCATATATGATAAACCCAATGCCAATATCATCCTGAATGGGGAAAAGCTGAAAGCTTTTCCTTTAAGAACAGGAACTAGACAAGGATGCCCACTCTCACCACTCTTATTCAATATAGTGTTGGAAGTACTAGCCAGTGCAATCAGAAAAGAGAAGGAAATAAAGGGTATCCAGATTGGAAAAGATGAAATCAAACTGTCCCTGTTTGCAGATGACATGATCCTATATATCAAACAGCCTAAAGCCTCTACAAGAAAACTCTTGGAGTTGATGATTTCAGCACAGTAGCAGGATACAAAATCAGCACACAAAAATCAGTAGCATTTCTATTCTCAAATAGTGAACATGAAGAAAGAGAAATCTAGAAAGCCTGCCCATTTACAACTGCCACCAAAAAAATAAAATACTTAGGAATTGAGTTAACCAACGATGTGAAAAATCTCTATACAAGCAAACAGAAAGGACATTGTTGGGTGGGAGGGGTGGGAGAGAGGAGAGGGAGGAGAGGGAGGAGGGAGGGAGGTTTCAGTAATGGGCCACAATAATCAACCACATTGTATATCGACAAAATAAAATTTTTAAAAAAAAAGAGATTAAAAAAAAAATAGCTGGTTTACTCCTCTCCCTGTATCTGTTGACAGAGAATTAAGATTAAACAAAACCTTTCAAGGGAAAAAAAAGAAAATCAACTGGGGAAATGGTTGAATAAATTTCATCTATCAGCTCTGGAGTAACGAAGAAATAAACTTCCCTACCTGGTGTTCAAACCAGCCAAGAGCCATTTTTCAGGCTCAGAAAATGTTCAGCAGCCATTAAAATAACAACATCCCAGTTTTCATTAAAACAAACTTTATCAACAGCCTTTATTAAAAAAATTAAAATCCCACCCAAGGGCCGGCCCGTGGCTCCCTTGGGAGAGTGAGTGTGGTGCTAATAACACCAAGACCACGGGTTCGGATCCCTGTATTGGGATGGCTGGTTAGCTCACTTCGTAGAGCATGGTGCTGACACCACCAACCAAAGGGTTAGGATCCCCTTACCAGTCATCTTAAAAAAAAAAAAAAATCCCACCTAATTTCACAAACTTTCAGATAAAATCCAAAAAAAAGAAAAACTGTGCTTTTAAAACAATGATGTGTTTTCCTATATATAAAGGGTGTGACTATTTATGTACATACAAACATAACTGGGATCATAGTATACATACTGTTCTACAGTTTTTAATGCCTGCATAATAGCTCGTCATATGCATCATGATTTATTTAATCAATCCTCTAATGTTGGATTTTTAGTTTTTTCATTATTATAAACGAAGCTGTAGGAAACCTTTCTTATATGTCCTTTTGCTAAATCAAAAAAGAAATAAACCAAAGTTTTAAATAAAAACTTTTTTTTTGAAAATATTTCAGCATTGATTCCTTAAGTGAAAGTGAAAACAATGTTAAAATAGCCAATCTTGTCCAAGTACCATAGATGTTGCCACTTTTGGGGTTGTGGCTCATTCACGCCCCTTGTTTGTCTTTTTCCTCAGGCTGCCAACTTTTTGCCCTTTTTATTCAGTGCTCCAGAGGATAAACAAGAGAAAAAACAAGAGGGACCAAAGTAAAACTTGTTATACTCCTCAGCTGAATTTAAAAAAAACAATCAAAAGAAAAAAAAAAAAAACTAATGAGCAACATTTAAAACACATTACCTAACAGCCATTCTCAACCAAAGTTTCCAAAGAAAATTATGCCCTAAGTCTAAGGCATCCATTGTATATACAAAATCAAAAGAAAAAAAAAAAAAACTAATGAGCAACATTTAAAACACATTACCTAACAGCTATTCTCAACCAAAGTTTCCAAAGAAAATTATGCCCTAAGTCTAAGGCATCCATTGTATATACCAAATTCACTTCTCTCTTCTGATGTAGAGCCAACTAGCTAGGTACTATCCCAGGGAAAACTGAGCAGTCATTCAGATCATTTTCTTCAGGGTTCAATTCTCTGTCATGGAAAGGCCAAGACCTAAAAAGAATGCTTAATTCAACTTATACAAAGGAATGCTAAGTGCCACACTAATATAAAGCCACTATGACATTAACGGTCAGAATATCACCATGCTTCTACTTTACTGGAGTTCACTGTACTCATACAATTGGGTTGGCTTTAAAGTCTAAATAAAGTCCCTCACAAAAACTTTTAATTGACTATTTACTAGGTAAAATTTTCCTGTACTAAACTATAAATTTTAGCTATCCAAACAGTATATTTTCTGGCCTTATGGGTCTCTTGTCCACGGAAGCACATTCTTCTATTAAATATAGTCTATTTGCTGAGGTGCTTTAACATGAACTGTGAATAATTTTACATACCATGACAGATATACACAAACTTATGTGCCACATTAACACAATACAGGAAAATAATTTGGTAACATAGTCAATGCCTACTAAAAACAGTCATTTAGTTCCAAATAGGACTGTAACTGAAAAAGCAGATGCTTTCTTCAAATGTAACTGGACACAATGCCAAAAAGCTGTTCAGAGCACCCCCAAAAAGTATCCTTTGTATTTCAATCACGCTAACATCAGAATAAAACCAAAGATTAACATGCGAAATGGAAGAAAACATATCAAGTCAGCATTATGCACACATTATACCATGAAGGAGGTAAAAGTAATTCCAATATAGACTAAAGGCAATGGAAACACCATCCTCTGAAAGTCTGTTTCACATTTTTAAAAGAACAAAAAATGTAAACAGTTTCGCCAAAAAGGAACAGGTTTTCAAGAAGGGTTGTTTTTTTCTTATTTCCTTTTCTATTTTTCTCTTTTAAAAAATTAAGATCCATCACTATGTCTTTTAAACACACCAACCTACTTGAATTTTCAAACCTCCATCTTGGAAAAAAAAAGCCACGAAGTTTAAAACCCAATAGTTGTGTATGGTTTAGAGAAAAATGGCTCAGAAGAGGAAACACAACGCACAAAATAATTTAAACCAACCAAAACAAAGTAGGAAAGATTTCCACAGTTCATCCCAACCGGTGGTTTCCAAGCACACTTGAATTTTTTCAGGTTCTATGAAAACTCTCATCTAGTTAAACTGAGTATATTTGTACACCTATGAAAGCAGTCGTTTTTATATAGTAATGTTCAATAGGAAAAGTAAGGGATTCTCAAACTCTTAACAGTTTTCAAGCAACTTCCTAACCCTTTATAATCCATGGAACTCTCTCCCAATATGACATATGACATTTTAAGTAAGTGAAATATTGCTTTCAAAAAAAGAATTTCAAGACACTTCAGGCGATAGAATCAACCTGAAATACCACATAAACAACGGGGAAATCTCAGATTAAACAATAAAACTCTTTTTTAAATCGGATATAGTTCTTCCTATACAATCCCGTTAGCAAATGTACACACACCCCCGCCCCTTTACTGGTAGTTTAAAACTCACTTATTACAGGACTGAAATTAAAATTTAACAAAATGCCATTCTATTTTAACAAAAACTAAACCACCAAAGCTGGGATTGCACAAGAAGCGTTATCATTACAAACGCAATAAAACCTTTAAGTGCAATCGAGTAAAGAGCAACAAAGAGCATACATTTTAGCAATGTTTACATAATAATAAACTAAAAAATTTTAAGGTGAACACTTGCATTTACAGCGTACTCCCTCCCGCCCCCAAAATATTTCCAGGCATTCCTGTATGCATTAAGTTTAAAAACTCGGTTTTATATACAAGTTAAACAGACTGTCACATCCCTCTTCCCCATCCTTCCCCTCCGCTCCAAGGTCAAAGGGCTCCAGACAGAAGACAACAAAAATGCACGTGACAAAAGTTTCTCCCAACACTTTCTCTCTCAAGGCCTAAAGGCCCGGCTCCCCCCCGTGAGGGGTCAGGAGGAGCTGGGCCCCAGATCAAGGGGTGGCCGCCCAAAGAGGGCAGGAAGGGGGTCGACCGGGAAGGACGGGGTGAGTCGGCCCCCAGCCCGGGGAACAGGGAGCCGAGGACGTGCGGGGTGCGGGCGCCTCCCGAGACCACGGCCACAGGCGGAAGCGCGGGGCCCGGGCCGGGGCCGGAGAGCGGCCTGTTACCTTTTCCTGCTCCTCGAGGAGCCGCGCCACCTCCGGGGCGTGCAGCGGCGCCGCGGCCGAGGCCGAGGCTTGGGGCTCGAGGTCGGACGAGGCCTCCATGGCGGGGGCACTGGGGGCCTCAGCGGGGCGAACGAGTCCTAAACAAGTGTTTATGGAGGCGGCGTGACCGGCGGCTGCCCAGCGCCCGCGTGCTCGACCTCATGCACCGCGCGCCCAGCACTGAGGAGGCCGCGCCCGCCTTCGCCGCTTCCGCGGGGGCCGCTTTCCGCGTCCAGGCTGCCCGCGGCCGCATCTCA